AATTCATACTGTACCGGGGGGTGTTTCAGGGGACAATTTAAATTCATGCTATACGAGGGAGCGTGTGTCAGTGGACAATTTAAATTCATACTGTACCGGGGGGGGGGGTAGGGTGTTTCAGGGGACAATTTAAATTCATACTGTACCAGGGCGGTGTGTCAGGGAACAATTTAAATTCATACTGTACCGGGGTGTGTCAGAGGACAAGCTAAGTTCATACTGTACCAGGGCGGTCTGTAAGAGAACAAGTTACAGTCATACTGTACCCAATGAGTAGATGTATTAAATAGTAATAAATAATTAAATGAAATGAATTACTCAAGTTTATGATTAAAATAGACATTTCCATTTCAAAATTTAATATATATATATATATATATATACATATATATATATATATATATATATATATATATATATATATATATATATATATATATACATAATGAATCGTCATGAGCCGGTCGGTCTGATTGCTTCACTTTGTCAAAAGTCAGGGTTTCGCGCCCTTTTATATACTCTCACACTAATCTCTCACCCCTAAGAATTGTAAAATTTAGTTGTTCAATCTCTTCTTATTTTTAGACTTAGTTTCTCAACCATACTAATTTTTAGACTTAGTGTCTCAACCCTACCTATTGTTAGACTTAGTCTCTCAGCCCTACCAATTGTTAGATTTAGTCTCTCACCCCTACCAATTGTTAGATTTAGTCTCTCACCCCCACCAATTGTTAGATTTAGTCTCTCACCCCTACCAATTGTTAGATTTAGTCTCTCACCCCTACCTATTGTTAGATTTAGTCTCTCACCCCTACATATTGTAAGATTTAGTCTCTCACCCCTACCAATTGTTAGATTTAGTCTCTCAACCCCACCAATTGTTAGATTTAGTCTCTCACCCCTACCTATTGTTAGATTTAGTCTCTCACCCCTATATATTGTAAGATTTAGTCTCTCACCCCTACCAATTGTTAGATTTAGTCTCTCACCCCCACCAATTGTTAGATTTAGTCTCTCAACCCCACCAATTGTTAGATTTAGTCTCTCAGCCCTACCTATTGTTAGATTTAGTCTCTCACCCCTAACAATTGTTAGATTTAGTCTCTCACCCCTACCAATTGTTAGATTTAGTCTCTCACCCCTACCAATTGTTAGATTTAGTCTCTCACCCCTACCAATTGTTAGATTTAGTCTCTCAACCCAACCTATTGTTAGATTAGTCTCTCACCCCTGACAATTGTTAGATTTAGTCTCTCAGCCCTACCAATTGTTAGATTTAGTCTCTCAGCCCTACTTATTGTTAGATTGAGTCTCTCAGCCCTACTTATGGTTAGATTCAGTCTCTCAGCCCTACCTATTTTAGATTAGTCTCTCACCCATACCAATTCTTAGATTTAGTCTCTCACCCCACCAATTATTAGATTTAGTCTCTCAGCCCTACCTATTGTTAGATTTAGTCTCTCAGCCCTACCAATTGTTAGGTTTAGTCTCTCACCCCCACCAATGGTTAGATTTAGTCTCTCAGCCCTATCTATTGTTAGATTTAGTCTCTCACCCCTGACAATTGTTAGATTAGTCTTTCATCCCCACCAGTTGTTAGACTTCGTCTCTCACCCCTAATAATTGTTAGATTTAATCTCTCAGCCCTACCAATTGTTACATTTAGTCTCTCAGCCCTTACTATTGTTAGATTTAGTCTCTCAGCCCTACCAATTGTTAGATATAGTCTCTCAGCCCTACTTATTGTTAGATTTAGTCTCTCACCCCTACCAATTGTTAGACTTAGTCTCTCAGCCCTACCTATTGTTAGATTTAGTCTCTCACCCCTACCAATTGTTAGATTCAGTCTCTCACCCTACCTATTGTTAGATTTAGTCTCTCACCCCTACCAATTGTTAGATTTAGTCTCTCAGCCCTACCTATTGTTAGATATAGTCTCTCAGCCCTACCTATTGTTAGATTTAGTCTATCAGCCCTACCAATTGTTAGATTTAGTCTCTCACCCCTACCAATGGTTAGAATTATTCTCTCAGCCCTATCTATTGTTAGATTTAGTCTCTCAGTCCTACCTATTGTTAGATTTAGTCTCTCTGCCTTATCTATTGTTATATTTAGTCTCTCAGCCCTACCAATTGTTCGATTTAGTCTCTCAGCCATATCTATTGTTAGATTTAGTCTCTCAGCCCTATCTATTGTTAGATTTAGTCTCTCAGCCCTATCTATTGTTAGATTTAGTCTCTCAGCCCTACCAATTGTTAGATTTTGTCTCTCAGCCCTACCTATTGTTAGATTTAGTGTCTGACCCCCACCAATTGTTAGATTTAGTCTCTCACCCCTACCAATTGTTAGACTTAGTCTCTCACTCCATATAAGGTAGCAATACACCAAAGAAGCGCGGTGTAAAAATCGCTGAATGAGCCGATGTAACTTTTTTGTCCAAGACCTTCATTAAATGACTGTTTACAAATTAACATATATTGTCAATGTCCACTCCAGTAGGGTGTATACGGGGCATGATGAGGGGGTCCAGCCTAGAGGGACGTGGTGAGAGGATCTGACATTGAGGGACGTGGTGAGATGGTCTGACATTTAAGGACGTGGTGAGAGGGCCTGACATTGAGGGAGGTGGTGAAAGGGTCTGGCATTAAGGGACGTGGTGAGAGGGTCTGACATTGAGGGACGTGGTGAAAGGGTCTGGCATTGAGGGACGTGGTGAGAGGGTCTGCCATTTAGGGACGTGGTGAGAGGGTCTGACATTGAGGGATGTGGTGAGAGGGTCTGACATTGAGGGACGGTCTGACATTGAGGGACGTGGTGAGAGGGGCTGACATTGAGGGACGCGGTGAAAGGGTCTGACAGTTAGGGACGTGGTGAGAGGGTCTGACATTGAGGGACGTGGTGAGAGGGTCGGACATTGAGGGACGTGTTGAGAGTTTTGAGGGACGTGGTGAGAGGGTCTGACATTGAGGGACGCGGTGAAAGGTTCTGACATTTAGGGACGTGGTGAGAGGGTCTGACATTGAGGGACGTGGTGAGAGGGTCTGACATTGAGGGACGTGTTGAGATTCTGACATAGAGGGACGTGGTGAGAGGGTCTGACTTTGAGGGACGTGGTGAGAGGGTCTTACATTGAGGGACGTGGTGAAAGGGTCTGACATTTAGGGACGTGGTGAGAGGGTCTGACATTGAGGGACGTGGTGAGAGGGTCTGACATTGAGGGATGTGGTGAGAGGGTCTGACATTTGTACACTTGATTTTGAAGCTTTTATTTATCATTGGTAGATACTATTTAAGCAATTAAAACAATATAACTAATAATTAATGGTTCCTTTTGTCCACAGCCAAGAACTGTCCAGTACGGTCTACCAATGAGCCAACGGATAGGGTTAGGACCACAAGGTAAGACATCTTTTGACATTAAACAAAATAATAAAGATGACATTTTATGCAATCAGTGATCGCATTTTACCCCGTCTGTGTTAGCATGAATGTTAACATTTACATCATCAGGGTTGATATGGTAGACTCTATTTTACGCTGTTATCTTGGTTTTATGCGTAACATTAAAACAAAGTATGTTGAAGCTTGGATCAAAAGACAGGACAATATGATGGGAAAGTTTCGGCTTGCAGCCTTCTTCAGAGAACAGGAAAAAAAAAAGTAAAAAAAAAAACCGAACACAGAAAAAAAAAAAAAAAAAAAAAAAAACACTTTAGAGATCTCCTTTGTTGTTTCCGGAAGTAGGATTACTGGAAGTGAAATAATATAAATATTTATACTGTGAAAAATAATATCCCTTGATTCAAACTTCAACATTGCTTGTTTTACTATTTCATTCACGTAGCATGAATGCAGTCCTTCAGTTTCGATCTTTTATGGGTTATACCATTTTACAAAAGGTATTATTAATGTCCATGTCTTTCCTGGATATATCACACCCTGTCATCCATATGTTCACATCTGTCCTTCATATGTTCATATATGTCCTCTATGTTACAGTGAAGACACTGGGAGGACCTACCCTGGCTGTGGTGACCAAAACATTAACTCAACCCACAGTGACGATACTTAACAAGCCCCAGGCCGTGCCCAAACCTACTGTCAGGGTCAATCCAGGGATAGGTGTAGGTAAGTTGTGTGGATTAGCTGTTATTTTTTTGGTAACTTATGTGGCTAAGATGATGTCATTGTTAACTTGTGTAGATAGGCTGACGTCATTGGTAACTTATGTGGCTAGGCTGATGTCATTGGTAACTAATGTGGTTAGGCTGGTGTCATTGGTAACTTATGTGGCTAGGCTGGTGTCATTGGTAACTTATCTGGTTAGGCTGGTGTCATTGTTAACTTATGTGGCTAAGCTTTTATCTTTGGTAATTTGTGTGGCTAAGCTGTTATCTTTGGTAACTTATGTGGCTTAGCTGTTATCTTTGGTAACTTATGTGGCTAAGCTGGTGTCTAAGGTAACTTGTATGGCTAAGCTTTTATCTTTGGTAACTTATGTGGCTAAGCTGGTGTTATCAGTAACTTGTGTGGCTAAGCTTTTATCTTTGGTAACTTGTGTGGCTAAGGTAGTGTCTTTGGTAAGTTGTTGTCCTATGTAGGTTGCTTTAGGTTATTGTCTTAGGTAGGTTGTTGTCTTATGTAAAATACGGATACAGAGGTAAGATGCAGGTTGTACTAGCCTCTATAACTAATTAATTTACGTTATATTCTAAATCAAGTTCGGTTGGGGTAGCTTCTACAACTACGTAGTTTATACTTGCATCTATAACTACGTAGGTTATTTCTTACTATAACTAAAAAGATTATACTTGATTCTATAATACATAGGTTATACTTGATTTTAAAACTATGAAGGTTATGCTAGCTTCTATAAGCAAGGTAGGTTATACCTGCTTCCATTTGACCAAGTTGTTTGACTAATTTCTATACAGAGAAATGCAAACGTTATTGAATTGCAAATGCCTTCAACGAGTGTCTGAGAGTATATATCAGGGAAATATTTTCAGTTTGAGAGAATCTATTATATCTCGGTGATATCTACCTATCCAGTTTGAGAGTATCTATTATATCTCGGTGGTATCTATTCAGTCTGAGATTATCTATTATATCTCGGTGGTATCTATTCAGTCTGAGGTTATCTATTATATGTCGATGGTATCTATTCAGTCCGAGATTATCTATTATATCTCGGTGGTATCTATTCAGTTTGAGAGTATCTCTTATATCTCGGTGGTATCTATTCAGTTTAAGAGTATCTCTTATATCTCGGTGGTATCTATTCAGTTTGAGAGTATCTCTTATATCTCGGTGGTATCTATTAAGTCCGAGATTATATACTATATCTCGGTGGTATCTACATATTCATTCTGAGAATATCTATTACATCTCGGTGGTATCTATTCAGTCTGAGAGTATCTATTATATCTCGGTGGTATCTATTCAGTCTGAGAGTATATATTATATCTCGGTGGTATCTATTCAGTCTGAGAGTATCTATTATATCTCGGTGGTATCTATTCAGTCTGAGATTATTTAGTATATCTCGGTGGTATCTATTCAGTCTGAGATTATCTCGTATATCTCGGTAAAATCTATTCAGTCTGAGATTATCTATTATATCTCGCTGGTATCTATTCAGTCTGAGATTATCTAGTATATCTCGGTGGTATCTATTCAGTCTGAGATTATCTATTATATCTCGCTGGTATCTATTCAGTCTGAGATTATCTAGTATATCTCGGTGGTATCTATTCAGTCTGAGATTATCTATTATATCTCGCTGGTATCTATTCAGTCTGAGATTATCTAGTATATCTCGGTGATATCTATTCAGTCTGAGATTATCTCGTATATCTCGGTGGCATCTATTCAGTCTGAGATTATCTAGTATATCTCGGTGGTATCTATACAGTCTGAGATTATCTAGTATATCTCGGTGGTATCTATTCAGTCTGAGAGTATCTAGTATATCTCGGTGGTATCTATTCACCACTGGTTTTTTAATACTGAAAATCAATATTTTTTTTTAATTTCTCCTTTTAAAAACTTAACATGACCACATTCACCAGCGCCCTATGACTACGGGACACTTCATCGTCCCTAAGCAGTCCCATGCCTCCTGGGTGTTGCAAGGCCCATTTTAAGAACCACTGGTCTCAACCTTCCAATTCAATGGGTCTCAAGCTCATTGAGCGGTACAAAATCAAAGCTAAATTTGGTCTTATGTCAAACTTTCCATCATCAACACAAGCAACGTTTTTAATTGGTTTAAATAAAAGAACTATTCTGTGAGAAACCTTTATGTCCTCATTCTCAGGGCCGGCGCCAGGGGATGGCGAAGTGGGCGACCGCCCAAGGCCCCGCGCGTTGCCGTAGTATATTTATACTATACCTAAGCCTACTAATAGTTCCTAATCCAGTCAACACACTATTCGGGGTTATTAGATAGTCAAATGGTCCGAAGGTTAGTCTGGCTCCCACAGTCAGCTTCGTGTTTTCGTTATTTGTTTTTGACAACATTGATATTGGTAACAATGGAGCCGCGATGAGGAATTTGGGCCAGGGCAATTAACTTTTATAGGAAAAAATACATTTCGGAAACTAAGCGAGTGAACAAATATCAGTTATGACGTGTCCCATTATGACCAGCAAGGCCACAGTACGACTATAACGTGTCTTAATATCCTATCGGCGGAATATATCACGTCAACGGCCCCGCAAAATTAAATTTGCCCAAGGCCTCGCACCCTCCTAGCTCTGACCCTGTCATTCTCCCTATCAGCTCTATCCCCAACTTTTTTGACGTCATCATCTCTATCCCCAACTTTGTTTTGACGCCATCAGCTCTATCCCCAACTTTGTTTAGACGTCATCAGCTATCCCCAACTTTGTTTAGACGTCATCAGCTCTATCCCCAATTTTATTTTGACGTCATCAGCTCTGTCCCCAACTTTGTTTAGACGTCATCAGCTCTAACCCCAACTTTATTTTGACGTCATCAGCTCTAACCCTAACTTTATTGTGACGTCATCAGCTCTATCCCCAACTTTATTTTGACGTCATCAGCTCTAACCCCAACTTTATTTTGACGTCATCAGCTCTATCCCCAAATTTATTTTGACGTCATCAGCTCTAACCCCAACTTTATTGTGACGTCATCAGCTATATCCCCAACTTATTTTGACGTCATCAGCTCTATCCCCAAATTTATTTTGACGTCATCAGCTCTATCCCCAACTTTATTTTGACGTCATCAGCTCTATCCCCAACTTTATTTTGACGTCATCAGCTCTATCCCCAACATTATTTTGACGTCATCAGCTCTAACCCCAACTTTATTTTGACGTCATCAGCTCTATCCCCAACTTTATTTTGACGTCATCAGCTCTATCCCCAACTTTATTTTGACGTCATCAGCTCTATCCCCAACTTTATTTTGACGTCATCAGCTCTACCCCAACTTTATTTTGACGTCATCAGCTCTATCCCCAACTTTATTTTGACGTCATCAGCTCTATCCCCAACTTTATTTTGACGTCATCAGCTCTATCCCCAACTTTATTTTGACGTCATCAGCTCTATCCCCAACTTTATTTTGACGTCATCAGCTCTAACCCCAACTTTATTTTGACGTCATCAGCTCTATCCCCAACATTATTTTGACGTCATCAGCTCTAACCCCAACTTTATTTTGACGTCATCAGCTCTATCCCCAACATTATTTTGACGTCATCAGCTCTAACCCCAACTTTATTTTGACGTCATCAGCTCTATCCCCAAATCTATTTTGACGTCATCAGCTCTAACCCCAACTTTATTTTGACGTCGTCAGCTCTATCCCCAACATTATTTTACGTCATCAGCTCTAACCCCAACTTTATTTTGACGTCATCAGCTCTATCCCCAAATCTATTTTGACGTCATCAGCTCTAACCCCAACATTATTTTGACGTCATCAGCTCTATCCCCAACATTATTTTGACGTCATCAGCTCTATCCCCAACTTTATTTTGACGTCATCAGCTCTATCCCCAACATTATTTTGACGTCATCAGCTCTAACCCCAACTTTATTATGACGTCATCAGCTCTATCCCCAACTTTATTTTGACGTCATCAGCTCTATCCCCAACTTTATTTTGACGTCATCAGCTCTATCCCCAACTTTATTTTGACGTCATCAGCTCTAACCCCAACTTTATTTTGACGTCATCAGCTCTATCCCCAACTTTATTTTGACGTCATCAGCTCTATCCCCAACATTATTTTGACGTCATCAGCTCTATCCCCAAATCTATTTGACGTCATCAGCTCTAACCCCAACTTTATTTTGACGTCGTCAGCTCTAACCCCAACTTTATTTTTACCTTATCAGGTGGTATTGGCGCCTCGGGTCTCAGTAGAATCATCAGCACCAGTGGAGTCAGCCTGACCCAGTCCAGTAACGCGGGGCTGACCTTGACCCAGCCCAGCTCCACCAACGTGACCTTGAACCAGGCCAGTAGCAGTCTACCCAGTAGTGCCGGGGTCAGCCTGACTCAGGCGAGTGTCACGTCCATGCTGACGTCAATGTCAACTGCCACGCCCACCACTCTGTCTATGACCGTCAACCCACTCAAGAGGAAGCTAGAGGACGACGACTATGATATATAACTGGATCTGTCATCTCTGTGCAGCACCATTGGATCTGTTATCTCTGTGCAGCACCATTGGATCTGTTATCTCTGTGCAGCACCATTGGATCTGTTATCTCTGTGCAGCACCATTGGATCTGTCATCTCTGTGCAGCACCATGGGATCTGTCATCTGTGTCTGACATAGACAGTAACAGTTGAATAATATAGACAATTGGAAAGTTTGTTGTTGATGTTGTTTTGTTGTTGCGTAATTGGTAAATACGTTGGAGGTCATTGTTACTAGATTCAACAGTTTGGTTTATTAGATGGGAATGTAAAGTAATGCCAGGCAGAATTCTCATGACTATTTTAGGGATGTCAACAGTTTCAATGATTCTAATATCCCATTTCAAATCTAAAGGCCCTCCTTTGTATTTTTTTGAAGAGTCAAAAATTAAAAGCCAGAGCTCATTGTTGGCTGACAGAACTGTGTGCAGCACTACATGTGATTCTTTCATTGGACATTTGGACAGCAGATATTGGAAACTCTCAACTAAATTAATTTGACAAAGCATTACAGATGGATCCTAAAAAGCAAATACTTTAATATAAATAACAAATTACTTTGTTGTTATTTTTTTACTTTTTTAAAACAAAATTTGAAATAAATACTTAACATCAGCCTTGGAATTTTCTTACTTTATATTTAAATAGCATTTGATCTACTGACACATGCAAGCATAGACTGACTATCATAGGATTTGATCTACTGACACATGCAAGCATAGACTGACTATCATAGGATTTGATCTACTGACACATGCAAGCATAGACTGACTATCATAGGATTTGATCTACTGACACATGAGAGCAAAGACTGACTATCATAGGATTTGATCTACTGACACATGAGAGCAAAGACTGACTATCATAGGATTTGATCTACTGACACATGAGAACAAAGACTGACTATCATAGGATTTGATCTACTGACACATGAGAGCAAAGACTGACTATCATAGGATTTGATCTACTGACACATGAGATCAAGGACTGACTATCATAGCATTTGATCTACTGACACATGAGAGCAAAGACTATCATAGGATTTGATCTACTGACGCGTGCAAGCATAGATTGTGACTGTCATAGCATTTGATCTACTGACGCGTGCAAGCATAGATTGTGACTATCATAGCATTTGATCTACTGGACACATGAGAGCAAAGACTATCATAGGATTTGATCTACTGGCACATGGAAGCATAGATTGTGACTATCATGGGATTTGATCTACTGACGCGTGCAAGCATAGATTGTGACTGTCATAGCATTTGATCTACTGACACGTGCAAGCATAGACTATTATTGGATTTTTATGGTGCTTGCAGGGACAATGTTTTTAATCATGGGTTTATATATATTCCCTGCAGGGGCAATTGTTTTAATCATGGGTTTATATCTAATCCCTGCAGTGACAATGGTTTTATTCATGAGTTTATATCTAGCAGGGAAAATGGTTTTATTCATGGGTTTATATCTAGTCGCTGCAGGGAAAATGGTTTTATTCATGGATTTATATCTAGCAGGGAAAATGGTTTTATTCATGGGTTTATATCTAGTCGCTGCAGGGAAAATGGTTTTATTCATGGGTTTATATCTAGCAGGGAAAATGGTTTTATTTATGGGTTTATATCTAGCAGGGAAAATGGTTTTATTTATGGGTTTATATCTAGCAGGGAAAATGGTTTTATTCATGGGTTTACATCTAGTCGCTGCAGGGAAAATGGTTTTATTCATGGGTTTATATCTAGCAGGGAAAATGGTTTTATTTATGGGTTTATATCTAGTCGCTGCAGGGAAAATGGTTTTATTTATGGGTTTATATCTAGCAGGGAAAATGGTTTTATTTATGGGTTTATATCTAGCAGGGAAAATGGTTTTATTTATGGGTTTATATCTAGCAGGGAAAATGGTTTTATTCATGGGTTTATATCTAGTCGCTGCAGGGAAAATGGTTTTATTCATGGGTTTATATCTAGTTGCTGCAGGGAAAATGGTTTTATTCATGGGTTTATATCTAGTCGCTGCAGGGAAAATGGTTTTATTCATGGGTTTATATCTAGTAGGGAAAATGGTTTTATTCATGGGTTTATATCTAGTCGCTGCAGGGAAAATGGTTTTATTCATGGGTTTATATCTAGTCCCTACATGGGGAATGGTTATAGACCTTTGACTTTGTGGAAGTGATTGACAGGAGTCTTAGCAGTAGATATATTTCTAAATTTAAGTCTTGAAGTCAAATAGAATAGTTAAAATATGACAATGAAAGATTACAAAATGGTTGAAATACGAAAGATTAAAAAATAGTTGAAATCTGAAAAAATGGTTGAAATGTGAAAGATTAAAGAATGGTTGAAATATGAAGGATGCTATGAGTTTGATGATAATGGGTTTCAATAATAATTTCCCACGTTCCCAACTATGAATCATCACAAACTATCTTTTAATGAGCCATTAAGGACAACTAACCACCATGTTTTAGACCTGCATATCCTAAAACAGTCATTTGCTTCTTTCAGAAATACGATTTGCAAAAGGTGACAAATTCATTCTGTTTTTACCGATACGGTACTGGTTTTTGTACATTTGTCCTTGGTAAATCATGAGTTGTACCACTACAGTTGAATTGCCCAATATTTTTTTTTAAAATGTAGTCTTTCACAAAAATCAAGTAGGGGCAATCTATTTAGTGCGTACGCACTGAGGTCAAGTGGATTGTATTTTTTGCAGATTTCGGGTGCCTTTAAAAAAGTGGGTGGGGGGATCTCAGCAGAAAGTACATATAATTATTCAAATATTCTACAATAATCATCCTGAAATTCTGACACTCAAAAAAAAAAAAGCATAATATTTACATCTTAAATACCTTTAAAAAAAAAAATCACGCTATGTTTTCTAGGAATTATCGGAATGATTTTGCCTTGTGTTTTCACAAATGAACTCGATAGATACAGCTAAGATAGTACTAAGTTGTAGCTGTATTACAGTAACCACCTGCCCCACTTTGTACCCACCCTGTACCCAACTGCCCCACTCTGTACCCACCTGCCCCACCCTGTACCCACCTGCCCCACCCTGTACCCACATGCCCTACCACTTTGTAAGAATAAATTACAGCACTAGTCACTATTTCATAATTAATCACATCGAACAAGCGATGCCCGCAGCCTGCCAATAGTTAATCTATATATTTTTAACAAGGTAATCAAATGTTCAAAATCTCAAATCATTCTGTAATTTGTTAACTGAGAGTGAGAGTGAGTCCCCTTGGTGGCTGTGGGAACTGAGAGTGAGTCCCCTTGGTGGCTGTGGGAACTGAGAGTGAGTCCCCTTGGTGGCTGTGGCAAGGGAGATACATTTTGTTTGGCAGTCGTGACATACGGTGGAGTCCGCGAGATACTCATCAGGTGAGCAGTAATGGTAAACAAATGAATCACTAGAAATAAAAGTAGAAGATAAAAGGTGTTGGACCTTAAAAATTGACAATCTCCTTGATTCAAATCTTCACTAAAAACAACGAAACTAATATCTCAATATTTTAAATAATGTTTTTAAAGACGCATGCGTGATACGCTAACAGAAACGAATTAATTTAATCATGTTCGTAATTTTTTTTAAAATGGCAATAGTTGTAATCTATCTACCGTATTTATTGGGCGTATAACACGCCCCCGCGTATAACACGCACCTGAATTTAAGAAGGAGATTTCAGGAGAGAAAAAACTAAACATTATATCGGCGTATAACACGCACACACGATTTGCCCGCTATTTTCGGGGAGAAAAAGTGCGTGCTATACTCCAATAAATAATATATTTCGCCAGCAAAGGTCAAACAAGACGGGTCAAACACCACGCAGGCTATTTATAGATACGCCAGAGTGTGGTTCAATAATGAGTTCACTAGCGCGTAAAATATAATTCCCGATAACTACGCTAAATGATATATATATTTTTTTTAATAACGCAATTGCGTTTGGTGCGTATATTTTCTTTTCGTAAATGAAATCGTCTCAATTTAAGTACTGTTTAAAACTGTTTAAAAAATATTCGATTTAAAAGTGGTTTGGACATGAGAATATTAATATAGTTCATGGGCGTGAAATAAAAAGTGTGCAGTGACGTATCATGGAGGAAGGGGTGTAGCAAATATTGGGATTCTTAAATATGCGTTACTTGAGTTCTTGCTTTGTCCAGTAACTTTACTAGATGGGAAGTTCACGCATTGCTGTCCCCAATGTTTGGCGGGCTATATCTCGTTTTCTTTTATTTTACGGAAATCGAATATATTAAAATGCGCAAAAAATAAAATAAATGCTCTCTTATTTTAGTTTAATGTTTAAGTATTATTATTATAAATTAAAAATACCTTTAAAATAACAATTAAGGAACTTTTAAAAGAATTTTATCTGAATTTTAAAGTTATGATCCCCCCCGACTTCCATGATGGATTTCATGTTCATGCTGGAAGCCCGCATTATAACAAGAACAATAACAAACTAATTGAGGGTCAGGAGGTCAATGTATTTAAGAACTGTAACAACGTAAAGATATAGTTATTTTTACATTGTATTAATGGTTTTTTTTTTTTAATTTTCATTTCCTGGTCTTCAAAGTTGCAAACCTGTCAATTATTTCATCAAAATCAACATCCATCAACTTTAGTACTTTTCATAAGCTCCGCTCACATGAAGCCACAGACACACAGATCGTAAGAAACAATTGAAGGCTTAGCGAGAGTATTGGAAGAGATTGTTGTCGACAGTCTTTTCATCGACATTCAAGGGTGTTCAATTGAAACATCCCGTCGATGAATGGAAGCGGCGAAGAAGGAAAATATCCCCTCAAGGATACCGAACGATATAATACTTGAAGCATTTGCTACCGAACACTTCGATTGGCGTTGAATCATGGTCAAAACGATGATTTTTCTAAGGTGGTCAAAAAGAATTAATTATAAGATCACTTCATTTTTTATTTTGTTTAGCTTTAACCTTGAACTTTTAACAAAGCACGCATTTAGATTGGTTACAAAAAAAAAACACCTGTTTTAAGTCCGTTCTTAATATTGCGAAATTAAACTAAAATTGATTTGGTCTAAATGTCTTCAAACAATATATATAAGAATGAGCTATACTAACGTAACTCCAAAAAGCCGATAAGATTTAAGTACATTCGAAATCCTAAAAACAATCATATATTTTCTATTATTTTACGGAAATCGAATGAATTAAAATGCACAAAAAATAACATAAATACCCTTTTATTTCAGTAAAAGTTTAAGCATTATTATTATAAATTAAAAATACATTTTAAATAAAAACCAAGAAATCATTTTAAGCATTTTATCTGAATTTAAAAGTTATGAACACAAAATTTCATTGAAAAATTATGATCTAAGAATTACATGGTAATCACATTTATCGGGAAAACCCAAACAATAGTTTTTTTAGTGCGTTGTTAATATTGCAAAATATTTTTTTTATTTTATTTTGTTCTAAATAAACACGCAAATGGCGTCATAGAACGAATCACCCATGTTTAAATTGTTAATTTGTATTTTTAACATTTAATAAGTTTTCCCTTTTTTTAATTCCAAAAATATACTTTTATTAAATTTATAAAGTAATAAAAAACGTAACCTTTAAATATACTTCTATTAAGAAAATGCCGTTTAAGTCAATCAGTGCAACGAAACTCAATAGCTAAATATCATTCACTAATCTACTTATAACTTATCCAAATAATAAAAAACCATATGAAATGCAAATTGTTAGTTTGGGTATGGAAGGGACTACAATCCAATGGAATATTTTATTAATTTTATTTAAATCTGGGTGGAGTGGGTTGGTCATTTTTTCCCAAGCAGCACAAGATACGACTAAAAATAAAGGAATGAATTTGATAAATAATTAACCTTCATTAGTAAATACATATCGGAGGTAGGAAATAGGATGTATACATTTTTACGTGAATTACAATATATTTAATTTCTATGGTATTACATTTGTGAAAAAATATATTTTACTTTCTCTTTTTACAAATATGGGTATGTTCATTATGCCCCGGGAAGAACAAGATACGTCTCAAAATAAAGGAATGAATTTGATTTTAAAAAATAACCTTCTTGGGTAGGGCTACATACCTTTCGGAGGAAGGAAATAGGATGGGTACATTTTTACGTAGATGACAATATATTTAAATCCTATGGTATTACATTTGTGAAAAAAAGAGATGTTACATTCTCTATTTACTAATAAGCAATTTTTACCAATTAAGAAAATCTATGGCGTTAACAAAACTTTGGTACATTTATTAAAGTTTACCCATAAATATCAAAACCCAATAATTTTACCCACTTGAAAATTTAATTGTAAAAAATTGAGATTGGTTATTATTTTGTTTTAAAGTAATGAAACTATATTTTGGTTTTTACTTTACGAAAAGTTAAGTGGATGTGTATTTTTATGAGATGAACAATTGTTAAAAAAGACACTCAAGTCTGTTAGAGGCGTGAAAAACGGTTGCGAGATTCTACTTTAGATAGAAGAATTCTTTGTTTTACGATTTTCTGATAATGCATGATTAAAAAAACAAGGCAAAAGTATGTTTAAATTTTTGATGAAGATAGAAACGTATCAAACTCCTTTAATATAAATTATTTTTATATCATATATAGAGTTTTGTTGTTAATTTAATGTTACGTTTTTAAAAATATTTAGAGAAAAAAGTTGGAATTCAAGGACACGAAAAGGGAAAATCTAAAGTAATTCTCTAGCGTAGAAATCGTCCATCAATTAATTTCTTTAGACACAAATGTAATATAAAATGAATGACATACACTCATCTGTGTTCGGTGTAACAACTGACCTTTATTCTACAGTATACACCCTTTTTATACCTCTACATTCATGATCACTCATTCCACTTTTCCACGTATTCAAGTTTAAAACAAATATGAATAAAAACAACTGACCACGTCCAGTCATACCACATAACAACAACACAGGCCAATCATGTCACCAACTTCACTCACTACTCACAATAATAATCGTCAGTCATACTGTCACAACAAAAGTTATATAATTAGTGATAATTAAGATTGGGTCATTAAAGGTAATGTTTAGAGTAAATAATTTATTTAGGGGCGTGAAAAGGAGTAGGGTAGGCGTATAATATATAGCAGATAAATACTTCTAAAAACTTCATGATGTTATAAACTAAAATATCATTGTATCGATACTTCTTTTTAAAGTTAGGATTTGTGATGAGTTTTTGCAATAGCAAGTACAAATTATCGCGAAGGACCTACTATTATTATCCCGATAACATCGGGTCATTTATTCTAGTATCTTAATAAACACGCAAATGACATCATGGCGCAACCTGCCTATTTTAGCCAGAGCCTTATGTTAATTTGATTTAATAACCGTGGGTGATAAAACTGATGATGTATTTTCCCGTCCTAAAAGTAAAATTAATAAATATAATTGATGTTTTTTTTTTTAAATTGCTAGCCACCCCAAAAAAAAACACATCAACTATCACCTTTGTCTTTGTATTTTTAACATTTTACGTTTTTACTAATTATCCATTCCAAAAAGATACTTTTACTAAATTTATAAAGTAATAAAAACTAAATGTTTAAATATACTTGTGATCACAAAATGCCGTTTTAGTCAATCAGGGCAGCGAAACTCCATAGCTGAATAAAGTTGGCTGATGCACTGTTGCACTTAATCACTCATCCCAATAAGAACAAAGCATTATGACGTCACGATTACAATTGGTTTATTTTAATATCGATATCTAAAGATACAATTATGGGACATTTGAAATGTGGTACATTTTTTAATGATAAAATAAATAACCATAATATTTTAATATACGGAATTATGCGTAGAATTGTATATATATATATATATTATTTTTATTTTTTTTTTCAAAAGACCTAATTAGTAAAAACATGGAGCAAAAAAAAATTAGGAATGTAGATATATAGTTGGAAATAGAATAAAAATATATATAGTTAAGAAATAAAGTCAATGTCCCAGAGATAGGCTCCAGTTAGTAATGTAGTGAAATTAACACAAAGAAAGTCGACAAACGCATCAATTATTCAATGTTTACTGTAATGAAAAGAAATGTAGTTCACAAATTTAAAAAAAAATTATATAAAGAAGAATCCCAATTTAACTAAACTTGAATGTTAGATTTTCTATTGTTAGATTTTTCTATTGTTAGATTTTTCTATTGTTAGATTTTCTATTGATAGATTTTCTATCTATCGCTTGGCGTTTATGAAGTGAAGCTCTAACATGTGTTATAATCCACCATTCCCATCCACACATAAACACAAAAATAATAATAAAGTTTAAAATAATTATAATAATAGTAAAGAAAAACAGAGATAATTGACTTAATTTGGACCTTAGAATTGATTCTTGTTTATGTCCATTCCCGTTTTTCAATAGTGATGTGTTCTCAACTTCCGGTTGTACTGGCTTTGGCCGCCATGTTTCTCCAAGCACCGTCCTGGACTCAAGCGAAAAAGGTCGTCATGTTCCCGCCACCCGTTAAAAGTTATATCCTTTACCACTCCAACATCGGACAAGCCTTGATGGACCTTGGACATGACGTGTGGATATGTTTACCTGACCATTTAGTTGAGACGGGATTCCTCCAACACCATGCTATCAAGCGCATTGTTTACGGCACAGGACTTGGAGACATCGAGGGAAAACTCTTCCAGTCCACACAAATGTTTGATAAATTTTGGGCAGGAGAAGAAAACTCTTTCCGAAATTTGTTTCCCCTTATTAATTATTTTAAATCTTTTTCCATAGAAGTTTTATCAGAAACAGAATTTGTACAGAGTGTCAAGAATATAAATCCTGATTTATTCATATTAGATGCCTTCATGTTTACTAGGAATCTCTTGGTGCTGCCTTACAAACTGGATTTGTCTTTTGCTCTTATTGGAACTTTGCATGATATGAATTTGGCCAGGGTACCGTACAGCCCAGCAGCCGAGCCACACGTGACACAAAAGGTGACCAACAGAATGACTTTCTTTCAGAGGGTAGAGTCAACGTTTATTGCCTTATTTTCGATAACCTTCCACATTTTCACAGATGATGACGTAGTTACCAGATTCGCCCCTGAAAAGCCTTATAAACCATTGAGTGACATCGCCTTGCAAGCTGAAATATTCATCTCTGACACTGACCACATCCTTGACTATCCTCAGCCAGTGCTACCAAACACAAAACTTATTGGGGGATCTTCTGTCAGTGAATCCAAACCTTTGACAGGAGATTATTTTAATTTTTTTAACAGTTCTGTCAACGGTGTAGTGGTGGTTACCTTTGGGAGTACCGACATGGACGTGCCTACACATATCATGAACAAAATGGTGGCCGCCTTCGATAAACTTGATTTGAATGTTGTGTGGAAAGCTAATTTAACCTCTCCTAGGCCGGACAAAATCATGATTTCAAAATGGTTGCCTCAAAATGATCTCCTGGGTCACCCCAAGACCAAAGTGTTTGTATCACATTGTGGTAAGAATGGACAGTACGAAGCTCTTCATCACACCGTGCCCATCCTTTGTTTGCCCATCTTTGGCGACCAGTTCCACAATGCCGAACGTATTTCTGTTAAAGGATTCGGGCTGGAATCTGATCTAAGAAAAATCACATCAGAAGAATTTGCTGACCTGATCAAAGAAGTCGCCTATAATCCCAAATACAAGACCAACATACAGAAGGCATCGGCGTTATTCAAAGAACTCTGCAAAGAACCAATGAAGGAAGCCGCCTACTGGTTTGATCACGTGATGAAATACGGGGGAGGATACATGAGGTCATCTGGCCAAGAAATGCCCATGTATCAATTTCTTCTCTTGGACGTCATCGCTTTCTTCATTGGCGTCATTTCTTTGTTAGCTTTACTGACGGCCACAGTGGTCATTTTTTGTTATCGATGTTTGAGAAATAGAAAGATCAAAGCTGATTAGAATTTTTCTGAAGTCCTTTGACTGTCCCATCCCTTCATTAGTAGTCCATTTACTGTATCACCATGACTGTCCTGTCCCCTCGTTAGTAGTCCATTTACTGTATCACCATGACTGTCCTGTCCCCTCGTTAGTAGTCCATTTACTGTATCACCATGACTGTCCTGTCCCCTCGTTAGTAGTCCATTTACTGCATCACCATGACTGTCATGTCCCCTCGTTAGTAGTCCATTTACTGTATCACCATGACTGTCCCATCCCTTCGTTAGTTATCCATTTACTGTATCACCATGACTGTCCCATCCCTTCGTTAGTAGTCCATTTACTGTATCACCATGACTGTCCTGTCCCCTCGTTAGTAGTCCATTTACTGTATCACCATGACTGTCCCATCCCTTCGTTAGTAGTCCATTTACTGTATCACCATGACTGTCCTGTCCCCTCGTTAGTAGTCCATTTACTGTATCACCATGACTGTCCTGTCCCCTCGTTAGTAGTCCATTTACTGTATCACCACGACTGTCATGTCCCCTCGTTAGTAGTCCATTTACTGTATCACCATGACTGTCCCATCCCTTCGTTAGTAGTCCATTTACTGTATCACCATGACTGTCCCATCCCTTCGTTAGTAATCCATTTACTGTATCACCATGACTGTCCCATCCCTTCGTTAGTAGTCCATTTACTGTATCACCATGACTGTCCTGTCCCCTCGTTAGTAGTCCATTTACTGTATCACCATGACTGTCCCATCCCTTCGTTAGTAGTCCATTTACTGTATCTCTATGACTGTCCCATCCCTTCGTTAGTAGTCCATTTACTGTATCACCATGACTGTCCTGTCCTCTCGTTAGTAGTCCATTTACTGTATCTCTATGACTGTCCCATCCCTTCGTTAGTAGTCCATTTACTGTATCATCATGACTGTCCCATCCCTTCGCTAGTAGTACTTAAGTTTACCCGTGTGTTTTCTAACTCTTTTCAGCATTGGATGTTTAATCCATTCAAGAACATGATTATATAATCGACTTGTTCTGAATTGAGGGAAAACGTGCAAGCTTTGCAATAAATCATCGAGATTAGCGATTTTAGGCCCCCAATACCTCCTGATTAGACTTTTCGTTAATGATACCCCCCCCCCCACCATCGAACCACCGCGCCTATAGTTCAAACAAAGTCGTGTGTGTGTAGTATCAGCTGTTTATAATTTATTATTTGACCCCCTTTCTTCACAAATATTTGCAAAATGATCTTGATTGAAGTTGAAGAGGTTTACTTTTAATTTAATTTAGCATTTGCTACACTTTGAAAAACGACTTGTCTTTTAATTCATTTCCACTAACTAATTCTAAGAGTGTTGGACTGTGATAAAGCTTTAAAATAGATTAATTAGAATTAGACACGAACAATTTGTGTCAGTAAAACAATATCATATGATATGTGTTCAGCTTCAATAATAATTTTACATAATTCACAAGTAGACGTTTCGGCAAATGCCTTCATGGGTTCAATAAGCAAGCATTCAAATAAGTATAAATTAAATTTTCATATTATATATTATATTTATATTCATGTAATGTTGTAATGTATCCTGCTTTAAAAAATAGAAAAGAATAGGAGTGGGCGCAATAATGGGAGTCGCTTAGTCGATTGATTTGTCACGTGATGAGAGTAAAAACGAGTAAGACTTCCGGTAGGCTGTATACAACACACTAGTGCTTGACAACAGTAGTCCGTTACACACTGCAACTAGTAATTCAAGATGCCTAGGCAATATTCGGCTTTTGGGTGTTCAAACAGTCAAGTTGAGGACAGCGGTATAAGTCTGCATACGTTTCCGCTTAAGGATAAAGAAAATTTAAGACAATGGCTTGACAAAGGGGAACTTCATTAATTATTCACATGAAATCTTGTTCCAACCGGTTATTAAAATATTCCTTCGCTGCACCAATATTGAATAAAACACGCAAATGACGTCATGGGTGTGTCGACATTTCGTCCAATGAAAATTAACAATAAAATAAACAAAGGGGAATGACTCCTGCACCAAAATTGAATAAACACGCAAATGACGTCATGGGCACGCACGGAGCTCAACAACAGCCTGCCGATGATAGTATTGATAGTTCCCATCGAATATCGCTCACAAATTTTTCTTGAAATAACTTTCTTCCTTTAATCATAACTGACGTATATTTATTGTCACATTTATGTATTTCATTTTAAAAAACGCGTGTATTCCAGAATATTTTGAAAGGTAAAATTTTTAAGTAACATAACATTGGGGAAGCACTAATGAAGTATCTTTTGTTGTGTGTAGCAGCCTAGTGATGGCTTACTCTCATCACGTGACCAAACAAGGAAGTGACTAAGCGACTCCCATTGCTTGGAAACAATTGGACAATGCCGCCGTGGACTCGAAATCAATCGAGAGTTTCATGGCTGCCCTTGCACCCGCTAGGAGCGGTTAGGATAGCCGCATCGGTTCCCAAACTGTTGCACATATGCCAGTACTTGGTTGCAGCAACGTAGTCTATCAGAATCAGAACCAGACAAAAACAAAGTAAAGAGCAACGGAAAGGACGTCATTTGAAGTAAAATGTAAAAAACCAAACAGGAAAAAGACATGACAGCTACGTAAAATTGTGGATTTGGTTTATACCGTATGAAGTCAACGTACCAAATCTTGTTATTAATTTATTTTCCATATAAATTCTATCCGGTGTATAACTTGTCAACAGGATATCACTAACGGCGATGTCTAAAATTCCATCATGGTTAGTACTATTGAAATGTTTGGAGACCGGAGAAAAGTCTTGTTTATTTAAGTTATAGAGGTGTTCTCTAAACCGGTCTCCAAGGCGACGACCTGTCTCTCCTGCATTGAATTTACCGCCCCCTTTTTTTTATACTAAGGATGGTGTAAATGACGTTGCAACTTGTGTAGGTGAAGTCATCTTTTATTCTGAATATTTCCAGCGGGAAAGTGATCTTATCAACTTCAAACACGTAGGGACGTGTGTTGCAGCGGCTACGGTTGCAACTTTTGGTGCACTTTTTTTATGCTTTATTAGCAGGGAGGTGGCTTCTAACAAGGCAGGGACAAGTTTTATGCCCCACGGGAAGCGAAAAGAGGAGATTTTATGAACATCTCATTGGTAACAGGTTCTGCCATAAGAATTGGGCGAGTTTTCAGAACCAGAGATCGAGCTTTAAGGTTATGGGGATGAAAAGTTAAAATAAGTTGAGATCAATCCCTCCTGTCAGAATGAGTAGTTTTAAAAGAATCTTTTCTAGTCATGCCTTTAATTTCTATATCATAGTGCGTTCAAAAAGAAATTTGACGAAAATTTTATCGTGTGAACTGAAAAAAAGATTCGACGAAATTTCTTTCGATCAAATTTCCGGTACCGGTACCCTATAATTCGAGTGACAGCTGCTTTTAATATTTGCCATGTCTTCTCAGTCAAAGTAACTGAGGAAAGGGGATGGAGTTTTTACATGATTGAGGATGATGAATGTTGTAGGAAACTGTGACTGTTTTCTTGTAGTAAGTGGACGTAGGTTGTTCTCCTGGGGGGTTAATTTTTAAGTCCAAAAAATTGACAACATAATTGAAGTCAATAAAACTGTCTAGTTGTGTTAGGTCCATGTTTGTAATCGCTTAACAGTCATCTATGTATCTCTTGTAGTATAATTCATTTCCAAAGGCTTTAAGTAAAAAAATTTAATGCGTGTCTTATTTTTGGGCGACACACCTTACCTTGCAAGCGACACAGTTTGGAACAGCTCAACAGGGGAAGCAGGCAAGATAGAAAAATTTCAAAAGCTTCAAATCTCAGCTGCTAGGCTTGTTCTAAAGGGAAAAAAAAAACGTGATCACGTCATACCACAACTTGATTGGCTCCCTGTACAAGCACGGATTGACTACAAACTTTCTGTTCTCTGCCACAACTTTTTCTGCCCTTCCTATCTAACCGAACTTTTCTGTGTCTATTCACCCCTTCGACAGCTTCGCTCCTCCGCAGACACGCGTATTCTTTCTTTTCCCAAGACACGCACAAAAACATACGGTGAACGATATTTCTCTTTCTGTGCCCCCAATGGAATTCTCTTCTACCACACATCCGTGATATACCGAGCATCCAGGCCTTCAAAACACATCTCTTTAAACTAGACTTTCCTGGCTGATTTCCCCTCTCTGCCCGATAAACGATGCTGCTAGGTGCCGTCGATGGCTTGACATGTAAACAGTTTTGGAATGGGAGGACTGAATATACATTTGTTTTGTTTTTATACAATTTTTTTATATTTTCATTAATGTATGTTAATTTTTAAGTTCATGATTATGTTTGTTAAATTGTATGCACAGCGTGGTGAGCCCAGCCCAAGACTGGGACTGGCGTACCGCGCTATATAAAACCAATAATAATAATAATTATAAAGCTGTTGCTTGACTCTTTGTGGGCAACTTTTCAAAAGTCCCTATTTTGATAATAGATGTTTACTGTGTACTGAAAGTTTTATCTATTTCATCAGCTGATTACTCACAAAATGCGATGAAAGTTTAACCAAACTGGACAACAGGTGAAGGGAAAACAACACAACACTATTTTAACAAAATTAAACGATCAACTTTTCTGTATTTAAATTTATTTTAATTGTGTTAAAACATTTTATAAATAAAAGAATTAAATATAAAATGTGCACCTCTTTCCTTTTGGGTATTACTTGATAGAGTGACTGAAACTCTATATTTTCAAGACTCAAACCAGGCAAAACAAACATGGCTTCTGATTGGATCTTAAATTTAGAAGCAAATAATAAACATACTTTTTAATTGTCTGGTGAAATTTCTACAAGTCATGACTAAATAAATATTTTTTTCAAAGTAAGAGCAGGTAACTCAGAAAAGTGTAAGTCCATGGGTGCATGTGGAGTCGTTTTTAGTGATGAATACTTCTCAATGCATTTATCTATCTACCAAGTTCAATGTCACTTTTTAATATGACATGATCACCTGATCAGTGCAAATGAAAATTATATTAATATACTTTGGGGGAGAAATACAACAACCAAGGATAACAGTTGGAATTAATGCATTTTGTTATAAATTCTTTTAAAGAAATACTTTTTTTAACAAGACC